AGATGAAATCTATACAGCGTCACTCCTACTCCTCCCTCCAAAGTGGACCAGCTCCCCAGGTAGAATAGGAAGCTACCAAGAGAATTCTCAATGTAAGATGGAGTTGTGGGCATAAAGGCAAGCCCTGAGAACATGGAGGAAACAAGGATTAACAGACTGAAACTGATTGATACACACATAATAACAGAGATGCATCCTTGAAAACAGCCTAAGATATCTTTATAAAAAACTAAAATCTCCATAAAGTAACCCATCATTAGTTATTACCTTTAATGCATACTCTCTGCCACTTCCCAGATCTTGAGCTTCATAAACAAATGCGAACCCTCCTGAAAAAAAATTGTCAGTCAGTGCTATGACTTTTTTCCCCCCAGTGCTATGACTTAAACTTAGAAATACCTTTACTGAATAAAATACAAACCAAATTTTGGCCATAGATAGTAATTGCTTCCTACAAAAAACTGCAGCCCAATTTCTATGCCACAGCCCTTTATACCTTCTGCTCAAAGATAGGGAGGGAAAATGTAAGTCAGATCAGCAAATAGAAAGAAACAGGAAACCAAAAGCAAGCAAGTATCCTGAAAACAAGTAAGTAATACTGATGAATTCTATCTGGATTATCAACACTAAGGAAAGCTAATGTAAACAGAAAAAATGTCAATACCCAGATGAAGAAAGTGGACTATGCTCTCCTGACATCCAAAGAGAAAAAAAAAAAACTGATCAGTATCACTCATAAAGATGGATCAAAGAACTCAGTAAGTTTGTAATATTTTGGCTTTTCAAAACAGGATCTTGCTATGTTGGCTCTGAATTTACATTCTCTACCTCAGCCTCCCCAATGCTTCATTTAAACAGACAGTTCCGTCATAAAATTTAAAACTGCCAGCAAACCAAGACTAGAAAGAAACTTCCTCAACCTTATAAAACAAAGTCCCTAAAGGACCAACAGCAGCAGTGTTAGTGGTAAAATGAGAACAGGAAGAAGGCCAAGGTGCACATTCACATCGCTGATACTCGGTATTATACATGAGTCTTTTGCCAATGAAATCAAAGAACAAAATCAAAGGCATCTACATCACAAAAGTAAAGATGTTTTCACTTGTAGATTAAAGTGATCTTTCATGTAGCAAATTTGGTAAAATCTCAAAAAGAAAATAATAGAGAGAAAAAGAGGGGAGGAAAGAAGTGAAATGAAGAAAATAGAAGAAAAAAGGCAGACTGGCAAGATGGCTCAGTAGATGAAGGAACTTCCCACCTAGCTGACAACTCAAGCGCAATTCCCAAGAAACTGCATTGTGGAAGCAAAGAAGCGATTGCTCTGACTACATGCTAGCCATGACATGCCAACCCTCCCAGCCCAAAAAAGAAAGAGAAAAGAAAAACAACTGAACTATAACTAATTTAGGAAGGCTACAAGGTATAAAAACAAGACACAAAAAAATCAGAGGCGGGAGAGATGGTCCAGCAGTTAAAAGCACCCTTGCAGGGGACCCGGGTTCCGTTCCAGGCAGCCACATAGTTGGTCAATCTTTCTTAATTCTAGTTCCTGGGGATTGGCTGCCCTCCATAGGTACCATGGACACATACAGTGTATAAACACAGGCACAGTCATACACATAAATTAAAAAGAAAAAATCAGTGAAGACTTTGAACAAGTTCCAAAATGAATAGAAAGCTATCCAGCTTTATGGTTTTGCCTAACAACCTATTTCACACTCAAGTATCAAATTGATTAAAAAAAAAAACTATGACAACAAAGCGTGGTGTATCATAAACTCCTCTGTGACAAAATCTGACATAAACTGATAGGTGTAATTTGCCTACAATGAGAATATTTATTCATTTACTTAGAGACATAGCAATATATTTGACTATAGAAATTTTTCTCAACCTGTCTGGGAACATCCCTTTCAGAACTCGAAGAATTGTGACGTTAAGAACCTTCATTATGCCAGGTAGTGGTGGCGCACGCCTTTAACCCCAGTACTCGGGAGGCAGAGGTAGGCGGATCTCTGTGAGTTCGAGACCAGCCTGGTCTACAAGAGCTAGTTCAAGACAGCTAGGGCTGTTACACAGAGAAACCTTGTCTCAAAAAACCAAGACAATAAACAAACAAACAAAACCCTTCCATTATTATATTCTTTTAGCTTGAATCCCAATGGCCCATGGTCTAAGGCTGCTGTTCAGAAAACTCATTTAAATAATCTATGTAAAATACTACAGATTTCTTACTGTCTCAATCCAGAAAAAAACTGAAAATAGCATATTATGTTTAAAAGGAAGAAATCTATGGCTTACAATTGCCCTGATTATTTTTATTCCTGTCTGGGCCAGAGAGCAGAATGAGCTGCTAGGCACAGACAGAGGCTGCCCACACTTCCTGGTTTCTCATCTTGGGTTCTGTGTGGTCTGGGTAAGCTTCCTGCTTTACACAAACCTCCCTCTCCTGCCAATCAGGACCACCTCCCACCACAGACGGCCTCATGGCTCCTTGACCAGGTAGGTACAGGCCACAGCAATCTTCTGCCCTCCTACCTATCCTAGAATTCACATTGTTTACTGCCCCACCCCAAGCTGTCTCTTCTCTACCTCTCTCCCTTCTCAGTTTGTGGATGGAATCCAGGGCTTCATACATGTTAAGCAAGAGCTCGCCCTATCACTGAGCTATATCCCCAGCCCTTTTCACTTTGTTTGTTTGTTTGTTTGTTTTTTTTGAGACAGGGTTTGTCTGTAGATTTGGAGCCAGTCCTGGAACAAACTCTGTAGACCAGGCTGGCCTCAAACCACAGAGACCTACCTGCCTCTACCTCCTGAATGGTGGGACTAAGGTGTGTGGCGCCACCACCCAGCCCTTTTCAGTTTTTGAAACTAACTAGCCCAGGACAGCCTTGAACTCTGTTTGTAGCTCAGGCAGACCCTGAAGTTGAAATTTTCCTGTTTCAGACTCTCAACATGCTAGGATTATAGGTCTATGTCATCAGTCCAGGGCTGAATTTCTTGAAAAATGAGGTAACTGCCAGGTATCTTCAGAATAACAAACCAATGGCATCATCTTTATCATTCCAACAGATGAAAGGGAACATTGCATACCATTATACCATTAGTGGAGGCATTAAATCCATCTCTGAAGGAAAAAGTGCCAGAGGTCTTCCCACCAAATCACATCCAAATCTGTTTCTATCCACAGTGGAGAATATATGTGACAAAGCTACTGCCAAAGCATCCCGTCTGCTCTTCCACAGTAAAGAACATTAAACAAGTTCCCTGCTCCCACAAGGCACAAACGACGTGGATAACTTCAACAGGATGATTCCCCAAACCTGAGAGCTACTTCAGACTGGGTCAGGCCAGTTTTCTCCCTGAAGCAATTTGGCAGAACATAACAATGTTTGGCAGGTAAATTTCACAGCTAGTGAGACCTGGCACACTCCAAGGTAATGATGGTGGGCGGGGGGAGGCACAGAAATGGCTCAGAAGTGAAGAGCATTGCTGCTCTTGCAGAGGAGAGGACAACGTTAGATTCCCAGCACCCACGCCGAGCTTAACAACTGTCTATCCAGTTCTAGGAGATCCAATGCCTTCTTCTGGCCTCAGCAGGCAATACATACAGATGTTGCCGAGATACAGGCAGGCGTCCATACACACTAATTAAAAAAAGGGGGGGGGGGAGAAATCACAGAAGAGAGAACAGGATTCCATACATACCAATTGCAGATCCTGTGTGAGGAACAGAGAGGATGTTCAGGAAGCTACAAACTAGACTGACTTCAAGACACATGACTACGGCATTGTCTACCAAGCACAGTTTTTAAAGGTTACACCTACTGGCTTTGCTTCCTGTAAGTTATAAGATGTCAAGAGGTGAGGCAAACACTAAGGCTATAAGAGAAAATGAGACTACAAAGCCCTATCTATCCTCTCCCTCACTGAGCAGGGGCGATTGCTATGGACTGTAGAGATCCCCAGAACTCAGCAGCACCAGCACTGCAATCTCGAGACAGTCTCCTTGACGCAAAAGCAACCCTGGATATAATACAAAGAATAATTAGCTTATGACCCCAAAGTGACTGGGCTCAACTCCTAACTCCACCTTTCAACCTTTTTAAACTTTTTTTTTTTCAGCCCCAGTCACAGCCTTGGCCCCAGACAGAGGTGGTCCCTCCAGTCCCAGGCCTCCTTTACCGGACAACCACCTGCTAGCATGACCCTTGTACGAACTCTACCCTCCAGGAAGTGTTTAACCCAGACGCAGCCTACCCTTAGCAATCATCTCCAAAGGCCCTAACAGAGGCCCCTGTGGTCACCCTTCCCTGCCAGGCTCCACCCCGACCTGATTCACACCCCAGTCTCTCCACAGTAAATGACCTGGTCCACATCCCAACAGTGACTATTCCCACTGACTCTGCCCACAGGACTCTCCGCGTCCCTGAGCTGACCTACACTGTATTAGTGATTCTGCCGGGCCCAGACTTGATTCATACCCTGGACACGATCTTTCTAGCTGCCCCTGCCCACAGTGGTGACCCTCGCGCGCCTTTACTTGAACCACACCCCAGCAGCGACCCTCCCTGGCTGCTCCAGCCTTCCGCGGCCTGGAGACGCCTTACACCTCACCTTCGGCTAGGACCCGCCGCACCCGCAGACGTAGCTCGCCCAGTTCCACCGTCTGCCCCACGAAGTCACTCTGGTCACGGCCGGCAGCTCCACCAAGAGAACCAGGACCTGCCAGGAAGTCCAGCGCAGACTGCAGCAGTGACATGGCGGCGGCCACTCAGTGGCAGCGGGAGCCAGGCTCCGGCTCCGCACTGCCGGGTCAGCAGCTGCGGGAGAACAACCCGGCCATCTTCCGCCCGCGCCGTGACGTAAACCGAGAGCAGGTTGCGTCGCTACGCCGCGGCCCCGCCCCGACGCAGCAAGCGGAGGGGCGCGTGGTCCCGCAGAGCTAGCAGGACGCGCAGGCGCAGAAACTGCAGTCCCACGGGTGTCAGACTCCGGAGAGGAGCGGAGAGGGGCGGTCCCTTTCTGGCCCTAACCTCGCCCCGTTGCTTCCGCTGGCCGGAGTTACGACCGCTTTTGCCGGGTCCAGCCTCGGTGGCTGGGGCGTCACGGGACGTTGGGCGCGTGCTGCGGACCGTCCCAGAGCCTGACGCCTCAAGGTAGAAGGGAGGCCTGGAGCTTATCCTAGGGTCCCTTAATGCCCGGTTGAGGAGAGGACATGTCTATCAGACAAGCAGCCAGCCTATAATCCACAGACAAACATTCTTATGTTTTGGCCCACACAGGTTTGGGGGAGGACGAACTAGTTGCTAGCCTTAAGACTGAAAAACGATAAGTTTGAAAGAAAAAAGGGCTTCACAACGTGCGTAGAAAACTCACCTGGCGGTACTGGACCCAGAATCCTGTGTGATGTCAACCATCTAGAGCTGTTCACTTCAGGTGAGACTCGTGAGATTCCCCTTACCTCTGGTTTCTGAAGCCACGTGAAGTTGCAGCCCGTGTGTAGATGATGTGTTTTGGAACTAAAAAGTTGGCCCTCAGGCTCAAATCAACATCTTAGCCTTCCCAGGACTGTAGCTATTAAACTACGTGCTCTCTTAAAAGTCAAGCTGAAAAGAAAGATGATCATTAGCCACAGTGAGGTAGGTGGAAGGCGAGGAAGCTCACACGTGGAGGAATAGAGAGCTGATGGAGTAGAGATGGTATCTGAAGGTTACTGAGGAGGTTTGTGGTGAACAGTGGGAGCTGAAAGGGCAGTGTGGTGTTGACATTGTTCTTAGATGGGAGACATGAACAGCCCAAGCCAATGGGAGTTAAGCCTTCCTAGTACAGCCGAGAAGGGTACTGTCCCTTAGAATAGTAAGACAACCAAGTCACATCCAGATATGGGATATTTAGTTTTGGCATAGAAAAGACTTAAGCCGGACGGTGGTGCACACCTTTCCCAGCACTCGGGAGGCAGAGGCAGGTGGATCTCTCTCTGTGAGTTCGAGGCCCCCCCTGGTCTACAAGAGCTAATTCCAGGACAGGCTCCAAAAGCTACAGAGAAACCCTGTCTCAAGAAACAAGACCGCAAGAGGGGGAGAGGAGGAAATAGGGCTTGCAGTTGCAGGTATGCATTTATTGAAATGAAGTTGAAGGAATCTTGGTGGATTCAGATTTTACTAAATAGAAGGAAACGAAATCTGAAAGTGAGAAAAAAAAATGGAAACCCAAGGCTTAAACAGTGTTCAGGAGACCTAAAACAGCCATTGGAAGAAACCTCATAAATAATTTGCTAGAATGGATAAGGGAATTCAAGACTGTAAACTCTTGCTGGTATGACCTAGGACAAATGGAAATCATGTAAATACTTTAGAAACCAGAGTCTTCTCAGACTAATTATTTCATAAATATACCTATATGGCTTTGTGGTAGATGTCATACTGAGAGCATGTTAACATACTGCATCTTATGGGCTTCTCTCCTGACTCACCTCATGTATGAACGCATACAAATCTAAAACTCTTACTCCACCAACACTTTCTCTTGTAGCAGATTTCGTAGTAAAGGTTATTGTCAAAGAGTAAGAGAATTATTTTATACTGATGAAGGAATGAAGTCATCAAAAGGATGTTTCAGGGGGTTTGAGAGTGGCTTGGTGGTATAGATTACTTACGCTTGCCGAGTGCCAAGGTTCAATTCTCACCACTACATGGTGGTTCACAACCATTTGTAACTCCAGGTCTAGGGGATCCATTGCCCTCTTTAAACCTCAATGTGTAAAGAACATTTACTAACCTCGAATACCTGGGCAATGAAACAAGTATGTTCTCTGACCACAGTGAATTAAGTTATCTAGAAATTAACTATGTGAAAAATGTTCTGAATATTTGGAAAGTGGATAGCTTACTTTTATGTGTCAAAGAATCAATCAAAAGTAGTATTTTTGCCCGCCGGGCGATGGTGGCACACGCCTTTAATCCCAGCACTCGGGAGGCAGAGGCAGGCGGATCTCTGTGAGTTCGAGACCAGCCTGGTCTACAGAGCTAGTTCCAGGACGAGCTCCAAAGCCACAGAGAAACCCTGTCTCGAAAAACCTAAAAAAAAAAAAAAAAAAAAAAAAAAGTAGTATTTTTGAACTAGTTGAAAATGAAAATAAAGAATTTCAAAATTGTGGGATACTATTAAGTCATTAGTAGGAAATAGATCACATATTAGTGACTTTAGTGTTCATCTTAAAAAACTAGAAAAAATGAAGTGGTGGTGGTGCACGCCTTTAATCCCAGCACTCGGGAGGCAGAGGCAGGCGGATCTCTGTGAGTTCGAGGCCAGCCTGGTCTACAGAGTGAGTTCCAGGACAGGCTCCAAAACTACAGAGAAACCCTGTCTCAAAAAGGAAGGAAGGAAGGAAGGAAGGAAGGAAGGAGGCTGAAGGAGCTAACTAGAAAAATCAGAGAAAATGAAACCCAAAGTAATTAGAAGGAGGGAGATAAATACCAAAATGCAGTGAAACGAGCAACAAGACCTGATTCTTTAAGGTCAATAAAACTTAGAAGTCACTGGGCAAATTAAGTTAGAAAACCAGAAATGTCTGAGATCATCACAGATGAAGGAAATGTGTACCTAAAGGTTAACAAAAGCTATTATATTATGAACATTTTCCCAATGTTCATAATATAATGTTTCCCAATGTCTAAATAAATGGATTCATTGAAAGCACAAACTTAACTTACTCAAGAAGAAATAGGGCCGGGCGGTGGTGGCGCACGCCTTTAATACCAGCACTTGGGAGGCAGAGGCAGGCGGATCTCTGTGAGTTTGAGACCAACCTGGTCTACAAGAGCTAGTTCCAGGACAGGCTCCAAAGCCACAGAGAAACCCTGTCTCGAAAAACCAAAAAAAAAAAAAAAAAAAAAAAAAAAAAGAAGAAGAAGAAGAAATAGGCAAATAATTCTATACCTATTAAAAAACATTCAACTTCTAAATTAAAATCTCTTAAAGATTTCAGACTTACATGGCTCTACTGAAAATCCACTAAACATTTAAGAAAAATGATTTTAAAAATCTATATGAACTTATACAGAAAATTGAAGTATTTCTACAGCTCATTCCCAACATCATAACTTTGGTATCCTAACTTGTCAAAGACATTACAAGAAAATAACAAACTAATATTTTTCATGAGCATAACATTTTTTTTAAAAAAGATTTTTTAAAAAAAAAATGTATTAGATTAAAAAAAAATACGAATCCAAGTTTCTACTCCCTTCCCTCCTCCCATTTTCTCCACACACTCTCCCATCCCACCCCCATCCAATCTTCAGAAAGGGTAAGGCACATTGCTTTTTGGAAGGTTCAAGGCCCTCCCTACTATGTCTAGGCTGAGCAAAGGTATCCATCCAAAGAGAACAGGTTCCCAAAAAGCCAGTACATGCAGTAGGGATAAATCCTGGTGCCCTGCCAGTGCCCCTCAGTCTGCCCCAGCCATGTAACTGTCACCCACACTCTGAGGGACTAGTTTGATCCTATGCTTGTTCCTTCCCAGTCTGTCTGGAGTTGGTGTGCTCCTATTAGCTCAGGTAAACTGTTTCAGTGGGTGAGCCCATCATTTTCTTGATCTCCTTGCTCATATTCTCATTCCTTCCACTTTTCAACTGAACTTTGGGAGCTCAGTCCAATGCTTCGATGTGAGTCTCTGCCTCTGTTTCCATCAGTTGCTGGATGAAGGTTCTATGGTGATATTTAAGATAATCTTAAAAAAATATGTTTTAGCAATTAAGTTTAACATGTAGGACTAGCATCCTTAATCCAAAACACAAAACTTTTAATGAGTGCCAACATGATGCTTAAAGAGTTTCGGGCTTCTCATTTTGGAATTGGAATTATTCAGTCAATAGAATGCTCATTTTCCAAATTTTTTTTTGAAATATGAAATACTGTCTCTGTATATAAAGAATAATATATCACAACTGATTGAGGTTTATCTGTAGAATGTAAAGTTGACTTTATATTTAAATTTTGACCAGTGTGATTTGTGCTTACTAAAAAGTAAAGAACAAAGCAAAATAGCCTGACATAGTGAGGCACACCTTTAATAACTGCACTTGAGAAGTGGAGCACAGAAGACTTTTAGGATAGTTGAAATATTTTGTCTAATGCCATAAAGATGGACATATGTCCTCACACATTTCTCATTGCACAACACAAAGAATAAACTATAATGTCAACTATGAACTTTTAATGATGTATCAATATTGTGTCAATTGTAACAAATAGGTCACCTTAATACAAGAAGTTAATGAGGAAATGAAATGTGAATTAGTATAAAAGAATCCTTTATTTTGTACTCAACTTGCTTTAAAAGTCACCGGGAAAAGCCAGGCATGGTGGCACAAACCTGTAATCTCAGCACTAAGGTGTCGAAAGCAGAGAGATTATCCTGGGCTGAGACCCTAGTGGAGGAATGAAGAGAACTCAAGACTGGAGGAAGAATTGAGAATTGCAGATTCATAAATGATAAAAGAACTAGCCAGGTGGTGGTGGCACCTGCCTTTAATCCCAGCACTTGGGAGGCAGAGGCAGGCGGATCTCTGTGAGTTCAAGGCCAGCCTGGTCTGCAGAGCAAGTTCCAGTACAGGCTCCCTAACTACTGGGAAACACTGTCTCGAAAAACAAAACAAAGAAACAAAAAATTTATAAAACATACAAGTATTTTGCCTGCATACATGCATATATGTGCACTCCATGTGTTCCTGGTACCCTTGGAGATCAGAAGAGGGTGTATTAGGACTCCTGGGACTGGAGTTACAGAGTGTTGTAACCTAACATGCAGGTGCTGGGAATTGGACCTGTGTCTTCTGCAAGAGCAACACGTGCTCTTAACTGCTGAGCCAACTCGTCAGTACCAGTTGTTTTCTTAGTAATGTGGTAAAGTATGCATGAAAAAAAATTGTTTTAGATAAGCCTTGCTGTGTAACTTAGGCTGTCCTCAAATTTGAACCCTTACCTCTAACCCTTAATAATGAGATTATAAGCATGGGTTCCTACACACATGTGCACACCACACACCATTGTGTGTGTGTGTGTGTGTGTGTGTGTGTGTGTGTGTGGCATAAGCATATGCATTTGTGTATACCAGAAGTCAACACTGGATTTCTTTCTTTCCTTTTTTTTAAAAGTTTGTTTATTTATTTTTTAGATTTATTTATTATGTATACAACATTCTGCCTCCATGTATGCCTGCAGGTCAGAAGAGAACACCAGATCTAATTACAGATGGCTGTGAGCCACCAAGTGGTTGCTGGGAATTGAACTCAGGTCCTCTGGAAGAGCTGCCAGTGCTCTTAACCCCTGAGCCATCTTTCCAGCCCAACACTGGATTTCTTATATCATTCTCTGTCTTTGTTTGTTTGTATGTATGTGTGTATGTTTGTTTATATGTGTGTGTGTGTGTGTGT